TTGCTGAACAGGGCTGGAAGAGACGGTCTGGTGGACGGCCTGCAACTTGGAGAAGCCGCATGAAAAAGCTGACGAAACAGTTCATCTCAGCCGGTTGCTGTCTACCACCTGGTTGGGGTCCGAGAGATAGGGATAGTATCTGGTTGAAGACCTTGGAGGGCATGACTCAAGATCGATGTCAGCGACGGACGTGTGCATCGGCGTGTTGCGGTGTTCCTCCTTTCTCTCCCTAAAAGACAAACTGATAAAAAATTCAAAAGCTGGGTAGTAAACGGGACAAAAAAGCTTTGGTTGTTGTTCTTTTCATACTATTTATACCGTTTTCCTATTCAGCTATGATTCCGATGGCACAATATCTGTACCACAGATTGTGTATAATATATGGTTGGCGGCATCCGGTTTCGAATTTGCCTGTCACTGTAGCCAGCCACAGGACGCCTGCGCCTACAGAGGGACCATGGATGGCTTGCGCTGCACCACCCACAGCTCCAACCACACACCCCATATCCAGTGTAAACCCGGAGGAATAGGACCGGGAGGCATGCGGATGAGAGCCACGTTTCATCAACGGAGCCGGCCCACACTCCTTCACAGGCAAACACAAGCACACTGTATTTGGGAATCAATCGCACACAAAGCGGTGGCTGGACCGAAGTCCGCTCCACACTGAGTGCAAGGAACCACACTTCAAGCCGAGCACGACCACAAGGACCGTGCACCCCGTCCCCTCCAGCAACGACCAACTGTCCCGTAGACTCAATATGGACGAGGTAGTGGGTAATAGACAGGTAGGCAGCTGGTCAACATGCATATCAAGCGCAGCCACATCGGGGATGTCAAAAAACGGCCAATCACTTGAAATGACATTATCAAATAAAACATCTGTTAAAGAATACGGCTATGCAGACATAACTCTCCCCCACATTAGCATATGAAGTATGTTGGTTAGCAACAAATCTGCGATAAGTATAAAATGGCCAGAAGTTAAGCAAAAAATGCTACGAACGCAATTAACTTAACGAAGATAACCACAATTAACGTAAGCAAAGTAGCCAGTCAATAGAAGATTATCCAGGTAGGCAGAACAAACCAAATAAAGTGGATGAAATTTACACAGCTTAAAAAAACCTAGTTTAAGTGCAAGCTGATTTAGCCCAATTACGGTGAAGAAGCATCATGAATGCAACATCAGCCTCAGCATAGGGCACAGTATTCTATATATATATATATATATATATATATATATATATATATATATATATATATATATATATATATATATATATATATATATCCTGCGTCGTGCATGACGACCGAGATCCTATTCCACTGAAACTCAGTGTCGTGAGGACAGGAGAGCGAAAGTTCGCTACGCAGTGCTTCTTGATAGGTTTGCCTGCCCGAAGGTTGACACAATTTCTCCCTTACCAATCTGGCGAGACGATTGGTGCGCCACCCGGTAAAGTTCATTGATTAACGACAGCGTACCAAGACATGATCAGAGTCGACGCAGGTATTCCAGAACGAGTGACGATTCAGGATGGAACTACGCCACCTGTAACTTATGGCTATGTGGTCAATTTGTGATTATCGCTGACGAGCTGCAGGAGGATGTCAAGTGGAACTTCGGCGCCCACTGTGTCTAAAAGCAGTGCTACTAAGAAACAATTTGTGCTCCGCACACAGTTGCAGCAGACGCTCACCGTTGTCAGTCCGTTCGAAGTTAAGCCCATAATTACCACCCAGATGAGTTTCTGAAGAGCTCAAACGCTCTACTTGTGCGTTCATATACCTGCAACTACTATAATATCTGAACTAGTAGCACTGCGTAGTAGCGCGTTCAGTTCGTGATAGAATGTGGCTTTGGCAGCATCAGAACTGCAGTCGGTGGGGGCGCAGGCGGAAACCACAAACAAACAGCGTTTTGTACCACTTCCTGAATCAACCTTAGTTGATGTCGTCAAACTGGCTGCACACAAACGGCTGTTCACCGAAATCCAATCAACCAACAATGGCTCAACCTTGGAGCTGGGAATGATACCTACACCAGAGTGACCCGTGATTGGTGCATCAGCGTCTCCGGAAGCGTGCAATCAAAAGCGAGAGAAGTCGGACGCAGTTAATTCAACAACCCCATTAGGGTTATTGATCCTAGTTTCGGACACACAACATGCTTCCATATCCAGTGTGTCCAACGTGCATGCGAGTGCAGTCTGTTGACCTGTTTGTCTTAGAGCGCGAACATTGAACGCCGCCATGAAATCGAGACAGCATGACCTTAGAAAGGACTGCTGCCGATAGGCGTCCGGTGGGTGCCGCGGGAAGATGGCTGCAGGTGGTTCTACTCCAGTGGCACTTCGGTAGATGTCAATTAAGCTGGGAACAGTCGAAGATAGGTTGGTAATGAGATTTGAGGGGAATAAGAAAACAGGTGGAAAAGAAAGAAGGGAGGCGCCAGCAGTGGCATGTTTTCGCTTATCTGCCGTGCCGTATACGGCAGATAAGGAGATTGCTGATAATCTGCGCGACGGCCGATTCAGGATGTAGTTAAAGTTTGGGGAATGTGTCATGGTTGTATGTGGGCTAAGATACTGCCAGGGCGCCCAGACCTAGACAGCAGGACGATTAGGGTTCTCAACCAAAGCATTTGACTCAAAAGTCTGTCCGCAAGGCAGCGGGGATACGATATTTAGTTTTACAGAAATGGACATCCCATTTCAAGCTCCCAATCTGGAGGACCAGGAGACTGAGATTATATGACCTCTAACCATGGACCAACCTGGTAGGAGGGGGCCGGAGGCACCACCCAGTATAGCTCAATGGGTCATGGAAGTACGCAAACCGTCGCACCACGTTAAGGTTCAGTCTCATTGTGACCGAGGGGTAGCCTAGGGTTCGGAAATTAAACTATGAAAGGGCGGGGAGCATGGATGCACCGCTAGTAACGATGAGACTAAAGGACAGCTAGTGCGACTATTGAAACACAGGCAGGTAACGTATGAATAGTGAGTCGTCTCGGCTGCAGACTAGGAACAGTGGACCCCAGTAACCTGAAGGAGACAAAGGTATTATCAGTAGCAACATGGATGCCGCCTCCTCGTGTCTAGGACCTACAGTGACTCATGAGTTATTCCATGGATAACAAAGAAGTTGTAACAGTTGTTACTGCCGAAGAAACAAACAGCATAAGATACACGGGGATCATAAATGCGAAAAGAAAGTGATTGATCTGGCTCGTGGACTTCCGACCTATGCACTTGACCTTCAAAGAGGAATAATAACATTAACCCGAGAGGGTTAAATAGAAGTGGCAGTTAACCGCCGGGTTATCGTGCATTGTTCCTATACTTCATCCAATGTACAGGATGGCATCAGACTCGCGATATGTACTTCGCATTAAGTATAATGACTAGCTTCACATCCTAGAATGATGTTAGATGTCAAATGCCATTCATGGTACACCGGAATACCATCGACAGATGGCTCCTCTAAGGCAAAGAAGGCACCAGCAGTACGCCGGTACGCAGTACCGACGCGCAACCACCACCAGTCGCACGTGGGCTAAGGACACTGTGAGGGTCGTCCGGGCCCTACGCAGGCATGAACGAGCGCTCTCGGATTACAAGGCAGATTTGGGATCCTTAAGGCTATGGGCTACGGACAACTTCATGAATCAGGAACCCGATTGCTAGATTCGACCCACGGGATAGCTACAAGAGCAAATATAGTGGGTTGTATGACTCCAATATAAGGCACTATGGGACAAAAGGAACAGAAAAGTAGACACGAATAGGCTACGATCAGTAACGAGGCAAACTCAACAATCCCATGGGATTTGACAGAACTGACAGCTGCGTTTTGTTGATAGCAATAACCGGTTGACTGAATGCAAAAAAGATATCAGCAGTACGCCGACACGCCGCACCGACGCTTCGCTGCCACGTAACCACCACCAGTCGCGCAAGAAATAAAGACACCGCGAGGGCCGCCCGGTCCCCTACGCAGGCTCGAACTCGCGACTTCCAGGTTGCAAGGCCCATGTCTTGTTCTTTCTGTTGCATAACTCAATCCTTCAGGGAAAAGCGTTCATGTAGCAAAGTTAACTCGGCGAAAATTACAGCAGTTTGGCAAACCAAATTCCTCGACATAGGTTGCACGTTCACGTTCATAACTAACGACTCTGCTGAATCAATGAGGTTCCTTCTTTGCTTCAGATTTACACAAACGGTGAATAACATACGAATGTCGGACAATCCATGCTCAGTAATCCAATCCGTTACGCCCGTCACCCATTGGCTGTCTGGCTCCCTCGGTTGGTCCGTCCGCTCACTGATCTGACACTCCCATCACATCCCCCCTTGTTCGTGTTCTTGATCCTCCATATTGATATCCTCCAGGGACAGACGTTTATTCAGCAGAGTCAAGTCCGTGAAAATTACAGTATGTTTGGCAAGCCAAACTCTTCGCTATGAGTTGCACCTTCGCATCCATAACTAACGAGGCTTCTAAATCGGCGAGGTTCCTCCTTTTAGACACTTAAACAAACAGTGAATCACTCACACGAATATCGGCCAATCCGAGTCCAGTAATCAAATCCGTTACGTCCGTCACCCATTGGCTATCTGGCTGGCACGGTTTATCCATCCGCTCACGCTGATCTGACACTCCCATCACACGTTCGAAAACGGGCCGGCTAACGGAATGCAGAGCGACCGATAGATAAGCATCCAAAACGATCCAGTCGATTCACCTGTTCGTCTCGATCCTACTCATTTAACATCAAACACATGCCGTTTAGGATAAAAGTACAAATTATATTGGAAAATGCTCGGAACAGATCGAGGACCCATGATTTCAAAAAGGTTTGAAAACAACCGGTTGGTATAATTTGTGGGCAACGTTACGCTTTTGACACGAAAGTTCCGTAGTGATTATACGCAACGAACGGACCATGTACCCGCGAGCATCAACAGCAATTCAAAGCAAAGTGGATGTGCGACCGCCGGTTAAGTGTAGCATAAATCAAGGCTACCGCTAAGTCATGAGCCATTCGTGTTTGAAGTGATGTAAACGTAAGTTCCGCATCAAACGTCCTACAAGAGCACAACTGAAAACAAAAAGCCACTGCGCGAGTATAAAAGTCTATTAGGGGTGCAAGGGAACTAATTCGATGGGTATGTGCGCGGGGGTTAGTCAAACTCTAGTCCACGCAGTGCCTCGCGACGTCCGGAACGCGCTGCGCCGCCAAACGGCTCGTCCACTGGCCCATCTTCGACAGGTTTATCCAACAGCTGCGAGGACTCAGTAAGCCCAGGCAGCAACGATGGGGGCATCCAGTATCCTTTGGATGGAATTGTGAACAACATAAAGTGATTCACAATTGCCTCAACCTTAGGGTATAAAATCACAAAGTTTGATATGACGTTACTTTATCCTTCTCCAGTGTGGTGGATTGCGCCAATTCATCGATTGTATTTTCTTGCAACTGATGAGCCTTGATCATATTCACAGCTTGGCGCATAGTGATCCGACCCGTAGGGATAGACTCGGGAACAACGAAACCATAATCTATGTGTGGTTCTGGAAAGGGGTCAGAACCTTCAATCCTCTAAGAATCAGACCAAATAGCCACGACTAACCTGTGGTAACCTCCGAGTGGATTGCTTAACATAATCTGTGCCATCTGGTAGGATACCCTTTTTTATCGGACAGGAACGAATGTTAAGCTTATCAACACGGTTGTCCAGGTCAGGATTTCGTTGAAACAATTTCGAAACAGCATCTTGACTCCAGATCGGCCGATGGGTATTAGGATGCTTGGGAGCAGCTTCAGGTCGTGTGGCCGATCTTTCAATATATTTGATTGCTCGACGCTCCACATCGAAATTACGAACAGCTCGCTTAATTGTGGAGACAACCTTACCCATATGGGATGACTGGCAGCAAGTACCACGCAAGTGCACTCTAGGAGATCATTTCACTAGGCCTATAAATACAAAAGAAAAGCATGAAAGATGCATTGAAAATTTGTGACAAGACAACGTAGGATACCAAGGGACACAAAATAGCTAAATCTGCCACCATTCCAGAAAAATGGAATTCCACTCTAGTGGTCCAGTGTTGCAATGGGTGGTAGAAAACAAAAATGGTTTATTCATCAGCTCCATCAATACCTGCTTCATACAAGGATGACACAGGCTGTTTCGATACCACATTCGATGAGGAGCTGTTAAGGTCGCGACGGAAGAAACCTGACATTTGATCGCTCAGCTGATAAATGTGCAACGACCGATAGTTGAATGGCTACTGGCTCTAGCAAGCTGTCCCAGTCGTTCACCGCAAGAGCGAGTAAAACGACATCGAAGTGGAGTCCGAACCACTTCGACATAAACAGTCTACAGTGGTGACCCAGTGTCGAGCCATCACCGACTCACCTCGCAGAATACGTGGGGTGTAAATCAACTAACCGCGTGATGACGATAACCCGGGGAGAACAGACTCATTCTTCGAGAACAATGGCATCAAAGGAGTTCCAAAGCACCGATATACAATTCATACCACACATCCAACAAGACATTGTATCCACTAAAAAAGCATAAGCCGTCGGCAGTCAGAATTCAAGGATAGGACGCAGATTGGAAGTAGAGTTTGAAGATAATGAAGATTTTTTCAAAGGATTTCTTGGTGTTCTGGCTGTCGAAGACGATAATCAACGGCGCAACAGTTACTGCATCCAAAGGAGAAGATAGGAGTGAGGAAACGACTGTTGAGTTAGTACCGCCCTCTGAACCCCCTCTTACGCTTTCTCATTTGCATTCCGTTCTAAACCCACTTATATACTCCTGTTTTTAACGAGCAACTCTTAGACCTCTCCCAGAATGTTTTGATAGGCGTTTTTCTTCTAATTTTGACTTACGAGCAGTCGCGGAGCACCAGTCCTGTCCTGCCAAATGGACAACCACAGCTCATCCGCTTCTATTTGAAGCCCTCGATTCTCGTTAATAGTGGCAAACACTGCATGTGCACCGCTGGTATGTCCCAATGAAGGCATTTTCTTACTGATCGGTACACAGACAGCCCTTGCTCAAGCAGTAGAGACTCAGTCGGTTGATAGCTGCTGCTTATTTGAAATCGACTGTGAGACGCCAGCTCTGGGCTCACCCTGCGATCAAATTCATGTTACGGTGAAATTTTCCCGTTCCGCGGGTCCGGAGAAGACACAGCTTCAAATGCCAATCAAGTCGATGCAGGCATTGCTTTGAGCACCCAAGCTGAAGCAGACCTGGTCGACTGGATACCATCTAGTAGCCAGATGTGCACTACCAAACGGAATGGATCATTTAAAGCTTGGAATTCGCGAGGGATCAATATGTACCTGTTCGTCATCAATAAATACACCCCACGAATGGTGATGCAGACTCGGTGAAAGATGACTTATATCGTCAACTGAACGAATTCCTTCGTCACGGAAGAAGTACAGATAATGTAGTGCTGACTGGTGACCTGAATGTCCAAACTGGAAAAGCGCCCATAGATTACTGGAATCTGGGTGGCCAACACGTGCAAGCTCAAGTAATGACAACGGTGAGCGGTTGCTACATTTGTGTGAAGATGTTCGGCTACTGCTTGCTAGCATTACTTCCTGACAGCACCCATCGGAAAGTGACAGCGCCCACCAGCCTCCAAAAACCCACCGACACAGTGATCACATCGTGTTCAGTTACCACTGGAAAAGTTGCGTCTAAAATTGTTTCTCAGTTTGGGGCACAAGCGTGGACTACGAACATGCACTAGCATGTGCTGATCTGTGGGTGCGTTTTGGTGGACAACTGTGACGACGCGGTGAGCGCACAGAAACTAGCTAACTTCGGAAGCCCAATGTTCTAAACACGTACTAAAGTACGCTAGCATTTAGGGTTGAATAAGCGTTCACTGGTCGCATGTTCGTCAGACCTTATTGACAACAAGCGTTCTGTGTGGCAAATCCAATTACCTGTCTATGCAATGGGTCTCTAAGCAGTCTAGCAAATATGGATGCTCGCCAACCCGTCTCAACGAAACTGGACCTTAACGTAGTGCGACGGTTTGCGTACCTTCTCGACCCACTGAGCTCTGGTGGGTGGTGCTCCCGGACCCTTGAGAGGTAGGTCAATGGTTAAAGGTCATATAAACGCAGTTTCCTGGTCATCCAAGCTGGGGACCTGAAATGAGATAACGGCCATTCCTGACAACCGAATCGTTGCCACGTCCGCCGTCTTGCGGACAGTCTATTGAACTAAAGCTTTGGTTGAGGACTAATCATTCTGCTGTCTAGGTCTACGCGCTCTGGAAGTAGCTGTCCCTACTTACAACCGTGACTATTTCTTCAAACTTCAACCACAGCCCGCAGTGGCCGTCGCGCAGATTACCAAGGGTCGCTTTATCTGTTCCATACAACAGAATGGATAAGCGAAAACCAGCTACTGTGGGCGTTTCCCTTAGTCCTTTTTTACGTGTTTCTTACTCCCCCCCCCAAACCCAATTACTAGCCCAGCTTCGATAATTCTAAGCTTAAGTGACAGCAGTCACAGGGCCATCCCATCCCAATTATCCGCATCTGACTTCCCGCACCACCCACCGGACCCCTAACAGTTCCTTATAATTTCACGCTGTCCCGTTACCCTGGCGGAGTTCAACGTTCACTCTAATAGGTCAACAGGCTGTCCTCGCAAGCACGTTGGACACACTGGGTATTGACGTACGTTGCATATCCGAAACTAAGATCAATGACCCACAAGACGTTGTTGAATTACATGCCCCAGCTTCGCTCCTCGCTATCGGTTGAACGCTTCCGAAGATGCTGATGCGGCAACCACGGGTCAATCTGCGGTCAACGTTCTCATCTCCAAGGCTGTAATCGGTTGATTGGATTCCCGTGAGCAGATGTTTGTGTGCAGTTCGTTTGGCGACACCAAATAACGTTGATTCACGAAGTAGTTCTAAACGCCTTTTGTTTGTGGTTTCCGAGTATGCTCCCACCGACTGCAGTTCTGATGCTGCCAAGGACACATTCTACCACAAAGAGAGCACGCTGCTTGGCAGTGCTACCAGTTCAGACATATATTTTTGCAAGGCATATGAATGTGCAAGTAGGTCGCCTGGGTACTTCGGAAGCTCAGCTAGGTAGTAAGTATGGGCTCAACACCGAACGGGCGGATAACGGCGAGCGTCTGTTACAGCTGTGTGCACAGCACTCGCTGTTTCTTAGTAACACCACATTTAGACACATTTGGCGCCAAAATGCCACTAGGCGACCACATATAGCTGGCCAGCGATGGAGGTTTCCATAAGTTACAGGTGACGTGGTTCCATCCTGAATCGCCGCTCGTTTTGGAATGCCTGTGTCGAGTCTGATCATGTCATTGAAACGCTATCGTTTTTTCACGAACTTTACCGGGAGGCACACCAACCGCCAACCCATTCCAGATGGGAGCAAATACAACAGGACTCGAAATGCTCTCAGAGCAAAACTACATGCTAACCTGAAGAGAGACGGCGAAAACTGGCAGTTTCATTGTGCATCAAAGATTGAGACATCCAATGCCTGGCCACACTCAGAATCTATTCCGTATGATACGTGAAAGGGGAAAAAGGAGACCTGATGTTAGTCAAACTAAATACAACGAGAAGGGACAGCCTATACAAAACTTGTCAAAACTCTTGTAACGTTGGGCTGAGAATTTCGAAAAGCAATTTAATCACCCAGAACTATAGAACACGCTGTCAGCCAGTCATCGCAATGCTCCTTGGGAAGTCCGTTTAGATTCGGGGTCGAGAGTTGTAATCAAAAGTGGTTTGGATTACTGACGTAGAATAAGGTGGTGGGAACAGACAAACTTACTTCAGTACGCTTCAAATTCGGGGAACTGTTTTTGCAGATGAATTGCACGATCTATTGGGGGAATCGCAGGAGCAAGTGTCCCTAACAAATGCAGCTGTTCCGTTAGTGTCCTGATCTACAACAGAGTCTCGCGTTCGGAGTAAGGCAATCATAGAATAACCAGTCTGATCTTAATTGGCTCACAGTTGTTTCTTTCTGTCGTTCTTATTAGACTGACTGGAACCCGTGAAAGTTACATTCGTAAAGAGTAAGCCGAATTTCATCAAAATCGAGCCTGAAACAGTCACATTTGCACCTTGCGCCAGTTGTTAGAACATCGCCACTTGTATACGCGACCCACCCTAGTCGCGCTGCATGACAGCAAAGTTGTCTTCGACTTGATAGATGGGTGTACCCTTTGGGAAACGACAGTCAGGAAAGGAGCGCTCGAGAGCGCTTCACGCGTACAGCTCGGACAGAATGAGGACTTGTGGTAAACTGTCATTGCTCTTCAGTAGCTTTAGCGATAGAAGACAAGGTTGCCCGCTGTCAAATTTCCGCTTTAACTTTGCAATTGGTGAAATCATGGGACCGTCGTTCGTCGGGACGACTTAGGTGTGGAGCTGCTCCCAGGTGGACGACTGCTTGACTTGGAGTAGGCCAAGGATATTACGCTCATCTGTGACAGCTCACAAACGTGCTAGGCAACATTAGACAGATTAGCACTGGCAGTCAGCCGTTTCGAGTTATGCTTTGCATTTTGGAAATGCAAGGTCCTTTTCCAAGACTGGCAGAGTCCACCTCCTGCAATGACCCTTGGTGGAGAGCAGCCTGAAGTTGTTCATGAATTCAACCACCTGGACAGCCAGATCATTGCTCATGGAATATAAGAAGAAGTTACGAACCGCATAGTAAGAGCTCGTGATGCTATCCAATCTTTGCCTCTTGTAGCTGCCCGTGTGGAATAACGGTCGCCATGAAAAGTAGAGAATATAGTGCAGCCGTCGGTTCAACCCACCTCTACGGTTGTGAAAGCTCGTTTATCGGATGGACCAACGCAGAGAATAATTATATGCCACCACCGGTGCCTTCGCAGCTTAGCTCATATATGATAAGAATACCGCGTGA